AACCCGCAAGCTCAGGCAATCCACTCACCTCAGCCTCCCAAAGGCGCGGGATTACAGGCTGAGCCACCGAGCCCGGCTTCAACATTTTTTAAAATAAAAGAAATATTTACAGAACCTATGAGGGAAAAAAGGAAAGTTTTCTCTTTCAGAAATCCACGGAAGGCAAAGTCTCCAGGAAGTCACTGCTTTAAAATGCAGAGTTAACAAGATGGGCATGGCTTCCTAGTTGTCTCCAAGTCAATAAAATAATTTTTTAAAAATTAGACTATGGGTTTCTTTGCTAGATACACTAAAACATGAATATGGCATCCTGTTCCTTGGTCTGGCTCCTTGCTAAAGCATTTTCTTTAAAAGCAGGGGTCAGCCAAGGAAGCTCTGAGGGTCAAAGTCAGCCAATCACCTATTTTCATAGGGCCCACAGCTAAGAGTGGGTTTTATGCCTTTAAATGGCTGGAAAAATCAAATAACATTTTGTGACACAAACATTACATGAAGCCCCAATTTCAGTGTCATGAACACAGTGTCTGGAACACAGCCACGCCCACTTGTTTACACTCCTGTCTCACCACCATGGAGGGTTTGCCTAGTTGCTACAGAAACCTTGTGACTTGCAAGGTTTAAATATTTCCTATCTGGCTCTTTACCAGAAAAAAAGTTTGCTCGACTTGAAAACACATTCTGATAGGGAAAGAGCTTTTCATCCAGAAAGCGGTCTTCCTCAGAAAAAAACTGAAAGCTTGGTTGGCAACTGGGTTCAAGGATCATTAGGATATTTGAAAAGATCAATTTAATCCCACTCCTCCTTTCTCCATGGACTTTCTAGCTAAAATTCTCGACTTTCTGTAACCAGTTCAGCACGCTGAAGATCAACTATGAAAAATGACTATAAAAATAGATAATTTATACCAGCTGCTGCCTCCTCCTCTCTCCACCCCCAGGCCTTACACAGTGCAGCAGAGATACTTGAACTCTGGAGCCAGACTCCCCGGTTCGAATCTCACTCAGCCTTAATGGCTTTGTCACCTCTGGGCAACGTGTCCCCTTCCATCTGTACAATGGCCTCTACCCTGAGAACAGTGCATGGTAAACAAAGGTGAGGATAGCAAGATGACCTTCCTCCACACGCCCCACCCAGCTTCCCCATCACAGAGGAACAAAGTAGGGCTCCAATGGTCTAGGAGACGGTGACAATTAACTGGCTTTACCCCCTGCTAATTACAGCAAAGTCAAGCAGCCAGGTGACAAGGAGGAGGGCAGAAAGATTCTGCACACCTTACATTCTTAGTGTCACAGTTCGCAGTCTTAAAATAGGCATTTACCCTCCCTATAATAATCCAGTTTTGGTTACAGCCCTAAAATACTAAAGAGAACAGCATCTATTTGTACTTCAAGGGACCTCCAACACCCTGCTCACAGCTTTCCTC